TTTTTTTTTTTTTGTATTATAGTATACCATTATCAGTTTAGTTTTCAACAACAATCACGTGGACTACACTGAAAATCAGTTTCCGTTCAAATTTATCGATATCAGAAAAACTGAAAAACTGCAGCATCAGTTAAACTGAACAGGCGATGAGGTATAAAAGCAGTTAGTTTAACCAGCAATACTTTACCTGACATAAATGAACAAACTTTATCACTGACTACAGTCTAAGTGATACATCTCATACGAAGTAACTGTTTCAACAAAAACAGAAAAATTTTTGTTTTTTTTTTTCTTTCTTTTTACATTGTTTTTATCTCATTTAATTTTCTTCCGCTTTTTTTTTTCTTTCCTCATCAATTTTTTACTTGATTTCAAATGCGAATCATATGATAAGAGATCAAAAAACGAATGCATTCTAAGTAATTTTTGTGATCAGTTTATCATTTTTTGTTGATTTTTTGACGAAATTAAAAATAAAAATAAAATAACAAAATAAACCATTGAAAAAAAAAAATCAACAAAAAAATGATGATGATGATGATTAATTCAGATTTTCTCATCTGTATATCAGTTATACCAACAGTTATCGTCTGATTTGTTACCCTGTAAAGTACGTTTAGTTACATAATCGGTAATTTATTTTTTTTTTCTTGGCTTTTTCATTTACTTCTGTTGCTTTATGTGAATCTGCTCTAACATAGACTGTTTTTGGTCAGATTGATCAATAAGGTTATACGGTGCCATAATGCCAACTTGTTCTTTACTTTTTTTTTTTTTAACAGTAAAATTTTAGATTTGTAAACAATATACCGTACAGAGTTGCATTCAGACTGTCTGTGGCTTGCAATCTAACAGTTGGTTTCTTGTACAAGAAATTGTTTTTTTTTTTTTTTTTTTATTTCTGTTAGAAATTAAGTCTTAAACTAAAAATATTTTTAAAGGATGACTGAATATTTGCTACTTTTAGTGTGTTCGTTTACTTTTGAAAGATTTTAATATTTGAAAAAGAAAAAAGACAAAAAATTTAATTGTATTTTTAAGTTTTACAAAATAATTTTGATTATTTGTCTGTTTCTGTTTGCCAACTTTTCTACAGACATTTCTTTGTGTCTGTTCATTTCTGCTCTTTTATTTTCAAAAAAAGGTTGTTGCTTGTTACTGTAGAGTACAAGCCTTTTTTTGGTTAAGAGTGAAGGGATAAAATGGTTGAATAATTCCCCTTTTTGGCTTTTGTAGATCACCTGCTACAGTTTGGTATATTGGCCAAGTTTGGTACAACTTTAAAGCGTTAAAAGTTGAACTGAATATAGAAGATTCATTGTTTATTACCCTT